CAGAGAGGTCGGCAGGGGTCCGGATCCGGCGTCGGGAGCAGAGCGGCGCCGCTGTCACGGGCGCCCGGCGCACACGGAGGGCCGCAGCGGCGGCTGTGCGATGCCCGGTGGAGCCTAGCGCGCCGTGGGGCCTGTCCCTTTAACAAACCCCGCCCGGACTGGAAACCGGCCGGGACGTCCCACCCCCGGCGCGCGCCCATAGGTCGGCTGCGAGCCATGCCTGGTGCCGATTGGTTGCGAATGACAACGGAGTCATTCCATTGGCGCCCCACGCAAGGGCCGGCGCAGGTAGGCAGTGCGTGATCGGCCCCTAGTGGCCTATCAGGATACGCAGCTGTGCACGTGCACAGGCCGCTTATTGGCTGGGGCGAGGCACAGCCCCGGGCCACTGGCCAATAGGGAGGCGGTGCGCCCATGTGGACAGATTATGAGAAACAATATTTGCTCTGGAAGGGGCGGACCTGGGAATCCCGGGCGTGTGGCTTGTCCCCGTTCCCATGGTTACGAACGGGGGCGGGGCTTCCGGCGGCGTGGGGCTAGTCTGCAGGAGTCAGCTGGGCTCTTAACCAGAACCCGAGGCTGTGGCGGAACCGGCCGTGGTTCTGGTCCCGTCTGCAGCGCCCCAGAGGACGCACACGCCCTGGGAAGCGGAGCTCGGTAATATTTCCTTACGGGATCTGGGGACTTCCCTGGGCAGGTTGTCATGTCCTGATCCCCAGATTCCCGAGCCCCGCGTCTCCGGGGTTGCAGGACTCCCCCACTTTTCCTTGGGTGGGGAAGGAAGGCTGCGCCCCGCACCCCTGGGCTCGCAGTCTCTCTCGAGCTGGGAATGGCCCGACGAGTCCTGCTTCCTGCTGCTGCAGCTGAGGTCACGTCGTGCATCAGGCTGTTTCCAAACAACAGCCGCCACCCAGGTTTCTGCCCCCTCCCCGCCCCGCCCCCGAAAGGACTTATTGCCTTCGGTATGTCAGCCCAGGAGAACCTGCAGGGAGCTTTGAGAACTCGTCCACGCCCAGACACTCTTTCCTGCCTGACCTGCCTTCCATTGTCTTATCGGGTACATCTAGTGCAGCTGCCAGTATCTGGCCATCGTTTCCTAACCCTTTTAAATTCACCCCCCACAAAAATTCCAAGTCAGTGAGCTAATACGGGTTGCTTAATCTCGTATTGAGATTTAAGAGCTGGCCTGATACAGCTACTACATATAAATGTAAATGTAAATATAAATTTTATATATATATATATATATATATATATACACACACACACACACACACACACATATATATTTTTAAAGGATCCCAAACTAACCCCTCCTGCCTGGCTCAGTGGTTGAGCGTTGACCTATGAACCAGGAGGTCACGGGTTTGATTCCAGGTTAGGGCACATGCCCTGGTTTCAGGCTCCATCCCCAGCAGAGGGCGCGCAGGAGGCAGCCGATTAATGACACTCCCTCATCACTGATGTTTCTATGTCTCTCCCTCTCTCCTTTTGTCTCTCTAAAATCAATAAAGACATGTATTTTTAAAAAAAGGTTCTCAAACGAAAGATTGCCTTACTGTTCTCTTCGAGTTTCAATGATGAATGTGGATCTTGAGTGAGGCTCCACAAGGCCAGAGTTTTCTCATCTCCTCTCAAAGACAGCGGGAAAAAGCTCACAAATTCATCTCTGCATAAAGTGCAGAAATACTGTTCTTTGTTTACCGTTTTTTGTTTATCCAGACTAGTCCCGGACCTGTGCCTGCTCTGCCTCTGTCCTTTACAACACTGCCTGACCTTGTGTATTTATCCGCATGTTGTCCATCACCCACACTCGAAACACAGAACTTTTCCTCATCATTGTCGTTACCTCTGGTACCTAACACAGAGTTCATGGGGGACTTGATTCCTCCATTTGGCTCAGAGAGGGACATGGTAGTGTCCCCACAGTCAAGGAGCAGCTTAAGCGCAACACTGCCTTCAGTCCACAG